TAATAAAGTATGATACAGGCGAGCAGCCCCGATCCACACTCATCCTCACAATCAGGCTCTCAGCCTCACTCAGTCATAAATATGCTGCAAGCGGGCAGCCCCGATCCACACTCATCCTCACAAATCAGGCCCTCAGCCAATATCAAACATGCTGCGGCGTGCAGCCCGATCTCATAAATATGCAACATACTGCGGCGTGCAGCCCGATCCCATAAATATATAACATACTGCGGCGTGCAACCCGATCCCATAAATATGCAACATAAATCAGGCCCTCGGCCTCAATCAGTCATAAACCTCTCAAGCCACTCGGGTATTTCAGTAAAATAGGGCATTCGGTCCATATTTATATGTATCAAAATAGAGTCATAAAACTGAGTTATGATATGCAATGAAATGAATATGACTGAGTATAAATTTTTCAATTTAACACAACAATTCACAATAATATAACCTTTGTGGGTCCCAATAATACTGGCACATAGCCTCAACATGATTTTTAATATGCTTTTCAGCTCAATTTCTTTAACATAAAATTCCACATAAATAATTATGTCACAATTTTTATAGTGCACGTCCACACGCCCGTCACCTAGCATGTGCGTCACCTCCCAACAATTCACAAAATGCATATATTTAGGGTTCATACCCTCAACTCCAAGATTAGAAGTGTTACTTACCTCGAACATGCCGAATTCAATTTCGAGCAAGCTAAACAATGCTCCAGAAATCCCATTATGCGTGTATCAACTCCCGAATGACTCGAATCTACCACAATTAATTTGATTCAGCCCACAAAATTTTATAAGAATTAATTCCATTATCAAAATACTAATATTTTCACAAAATCCAAAATTACGCCCCAAAAATTACTTGTGGGCCCACGTCTCGGAATCCGATAAAACTCACAAAATCCGAATCCCCATTCAACCACGAGTCCAACCCAGCTTAAACTAAAAGAGTTTTCAAACTTTTCCTACTTAATTCACCAATTAATTGATAAAAACAACCATGGATTCGGGTAATTTAACCAATATTGAGTTAAGAACACTTACCCCGTTGTTTCCTCTGAAAATCTCCCAAAACTTGCCTCAATCCAAGCTCCAAATCGTTAAAAATAGAAAATGGTACGAAGTCCCATTTTCTGAACTTAAACTTTATGTCCAGACCCCTCTTCTTCGCGAACGCGACAGGTCCCTCGCGTTCGCGAAGAAAAAATGTGCTTCCCAATATTTGCTCTTCGCAAATGCGAGACACTGCTCGCGAACGCGATGCTTAACAGAGCCCTTCTTCGCGAACGAGAGCTCCCCTTCGCGAATGCGAAGGCAAAAACCCAAGCCCAGTATGTTTTCCTCGCGAACGCGATACCCTATACGCGAATGCGATGCACAACCCAGCCTCTCTTCGCGAATGCGAGACCTCCTCGCGAACGCGAAGAGTAAATCCTGCCTGCCACAAATTCCTCTTCGTGAACGCGAGGGCCCACTCGCGAACGAGAAAGAGAAAATCCGAAAAATGTAGCAACAGATATCAGCAATCTCACCAAGGCCAAAAATAATCCATTAACCATCTAAAACTCACCCGAGCCCCTCGGGACCTCAACAAAATATACCAACAAGTCCTAAAACATAATACGGACTTAGTTGAATCCTCAAATCACCTCAAACAACGCTAAAACTATGAATTGCATCCCAACTCAAGCCTAATGAACTTTGAAATTTCTAGTTTCTACAAACGACTCCAGAACCTATCATTTCACGTCCGATTGACCTCAAATTTTGCACACAAGTCATAAACGACATAACAGAGCTATTTCGATTTCTAGAATCAGATTCGGACCTCGATATCAAAAAAGTCAACTCCCCAGTCAAACTTTCTAAAAATTCAACTTTCGGCATTTCAAGCCTAATCCTACTACGGACCTCCAAATAATTTTCCGGACACGCTCCTAAGTCCAAAATCACCATATGGAGCTATTGGAATCATCAAAATTAAATTCCGAGGTCGTTTATACATAAGTCGATATCCGGTCACTATTTTAACTTAGGCTTTAAACCTTGGAACTAAGTGTTCCAAATCATTCCAAAACCTCACCGGACCCGAACCAATAACCCCGACAATTCACACAACAACTGTAAAGTACAATTTGAGCAGTAAAGGGGGACGTGAGGTTGTAATACTCAAAATGACCAGCCGGGTCGTTACATTCTCCCCCACTTAAACATACATTCGTCCTCGAGCATGCCAAGAGTTGTTTCCAAGCCATCAAATCACTATTCCATCTTACCACACACGTACCCAGGGGTGAACCCACGTCACCCTATCCCACATAGGCTTGAATACACAATGCAACTGAAAATCATTAATTTAACCTTTGCCCATAAACCTTGAGTTTAATTTCCAACCTTTAAAATTTCTTTCAAGACACGAATCTTATATTTACACACTGTATAAGTCTGAATAAGCTGCATCAAGCTATAACTATAACCACGGATATAATCACCCAGCATATTACACAACTCGTATGCTCGTAGCACCATTCTTGATCGCAGTGACTACTCCAAAACCAACCGCATACTAGTATTAAACCCATATCGAACCAAATCTCATCCCAAAACCTTCGTACACTATTGATAATAAAAGAAACACGTAGAATCTCGTAACCCTTTATCAGACCAACAAGTCATGGAGGTCTCTTACCCCAACTGGAACCATAATCACTTTCTGAGCCGACTTTCAATATTATACTCCTGAATATACCGAAATTAAACCTGATAGTACCCATTCCAGGTCCAATGACCTTATATTACTACACATAACTGCTCCAGAGACATACGGCACCAATATAACTCGGAGCCACAACTCGTGCCATCCGTGCACTAATACGCAACAATTCAAATATACCCAGTCATGGAAAATGACTCAAATGAGAGAACTTCCCCGCCAGATTAACAAGTACTTCCATAACGAAATGCTGAAAATTCATCATACACCGTAGAAGCATCACCCGATTCTAACACGAGGTTCATATTATATACTCCGAGCCACCCTACTCCAATTTAATAATGACGGAGAGGCAAATGACAAAAATACCACAAAAAACCTGAAAGGACATAACCATTACGCTATCGATCATGTAATACCCAATTACTCATCACACTCAAATTCTGCTATAAAGCTCAAATAGAACCGCACTATCTGTGCACATAACCAATGAATCACAACTCCTCGTAGCATAAAGGAATAACTCACAGATCATTTGAGAACATGAATAAGTTCGACATCAACCAAATGACACATCCCTCAATAATAGCAGTATGGAGCCAACCATTCCGGCTCGGTGTAGAATACACATCTTAATTGGGCCTACTTATGGACCCCCAAATCAACTCGGGTTACCCACAAATAGATAAAAATTCTTCCAAAAATCCATAATGACTGAATCATAACACATTCTATCATATGGCTAGCTCCGACCACAACTTCACAGTCCACAACCATGAAACAATCCGCTCCTGAGAACTCCCAATCTCCAAATCCATAGAACACGTGAATCACTATATTTGATTCCATCTCCACCGCCTGAATGCCTAATAACTCTCTCATACACGAGAAATACTTTAAAAGTTCTTCTGTGCCAATTGATAAAATTTGAATATCAGCAGTCTATCAACCATGTGAGTACCACAATACTAATTTAACACCAAGTAGTAATAGTATTTATCTAGTTATTTGAAACCGCCCATGTTATCCAACATTTGTTACCTTCTTTTAAAGACTGTACTGCCACCCATTTTAGTTAGAAACCTTTCTCTTTCTTCTTTCTAGGAGGAAATCACAATACACAACACGTTCTCCACACCGGTAGAAACCATCTAGAATATTTTGGAATCCATTTGCACATAATCAAGCCCTTAAAACTAAATTCCTCTAACTCGACCAAGCCACGCAGGTCGCCAAGTCCACGTGTATTGCCACAAAGCACCTGTAGAAAACCCCCACATCATAAACACTCAAAGAATCGATCATATCCATTACCATACTGATCCAACCTACTACCAAGCTGTCCTATTTCTCCAAGTCCCTTCCGAATTTGTCTTCAGATTGATACTTCTTCTTGCTAAAATATCATGATCTTTAACCACAACTTACCCCACAAACATTAGCATAGAACCACAATGTCCTATGGCCCATAAGCAACTGTATTCTTCTTAAGCACCTTCAAAAATACTAAAACTATAACACTCACTCTGAGAATACCTTACGTGAATTTGAAATTGTTCTTCTTACCTTCCTTACACAAAAATGTAGAATCCATACACAAGTCCGAAAACATTCTCACTTGCTATATATAATTCTCAACCCACTGAAATTTTCTTTTTTGGGAGTCACCCACTTTGCTCAAATCTAATTGCACCGCCCAAATGGGCCAAAAGACACGTGCCCCATTAGAACCACAACACTCAAATAAGTAACTCTACTTTAACACCACATATCAAATTTATACTCCATGCGCACTATATCATTCACCAATAACAACTCACTCATCCCGCGAATTTAATTTACTCATACGTGAAATATAATCCTTAACCAGAAATTTTCTTATTCGAGTCATCCTCGATCTCAACTTCTGCAAGTCATAGCTAACCCACAAGTATGCCTCAGACCAAAATTAAAATTTAACACTAACCATGAGATCAAATTGTCAATAGCAGACTCCCCCACTTGGCTCAAATCCATAGATTAAAACATTCCATAACTCACAATACCAATACTCTCTTACTGCCATAATGCCACAGTCAGTCCAACGAAACTTCTTCCCAAGTTCATACAACGCCAACCATAAAAATACCTCAATCATCTGCTAAGCTCGTATTCATTCTCTTAACACACAAGTCAACTTTCTCAACCAGATAATCAAGAAAAGGAACTATCCACTGCCTGTAGCAGCACAACCTGCTGTTGATCAGAAAGATATAGACGAATATACAAACGAGTAGATGGCAGTTGTTCAAGTCAATGCTAAGGCCAGAAATCTACTCTATAATGCTATAAGTGGAGAAGAATATGAAAGAATATCCAGTTGTGATACAATCAAAGAAATGTGGGATAAATCAGAAGTCACTTATGAAGGAACCAACAAAGTGAAAGAAACGCATATCAATATGTTGGTTCATGATTACGAACTCTTCCAGATGAAAGAAGGAGAATCCATTGAAGAAATATTTGCAAGGTTTAGCAAAATCATAATTTATCTAAAAGCTTTTGGTAAACCATATACAAGTGGTGATCAAGTTCGGAAAATTTAGAGAAGTCTCCCTATGCGTGGCAGACAAAAGTAGTTGCACTTGAATCACAAGATCTAAACAAATTATCGTATGATGAACTTCGAGGGGATCTCATAGCATTTGAAAAGACTCATCTCAAGAAAACAACCTAGGAAGAAAACAATCGCATTCAAGGCTACAACTGACAGGACAAAAAATGACATTGACGATGATCCTGAAGCCCTCGAGGAAGAAATTGCCATCGTATCAAGGAACATGGACAGTCTAATGAGAAGATACGGAAACACAAAAAGAGGAAGAATATCATCAAGGCGAACTAGGCAATACAATGAGCAGGACAAGAATGATGGAAAATGTTATGAATGTGGAAGATACGGACATGTACAAGCTAAATGCCCAGATCTAAAAAGAAAAGTTGCTAGAGGATTTAACAAGAATAAATCATTTGGAAGTTGGAGTGATGAAGACGTTTCAGAACTAGAAGAAATAGCAAATTTGTGCTTCATGACAATTCTGGAAAATGACATAAACAAACTTTTAGGCTGCTGGACAGATGAAGTTGTTTCAGATGACGAATGCAAGGATGAAAATAAAAACTGTTTTATGGTACGAGGTAAAACAAGCGAGGTAAGATTCTATAACTGTGAAAGATACAATGAATTGCAGGATATTCTTGACCTCACTTTAAAAGAGTCTCAAAAGTTGATGAATGAACTAAAGAGACTCAACATGGAAAAGAAAGACTGGAAACTCAAGCTTGAAGTATGTGAAATTGAAAAAGAAGTACTTCAAGAAGAATTTCAGGAATTGCAAATAAAACTCAATGGCATGCGCAAATCCACCAGTCATAGTTCTGTTAAGTCCAACTAGGCGACTTACAAGTTAACAGAAAAGGGGCCAACCAGAACAGAGTACACAAGCACTAGTGGAAGATCCAAAAATGGATCACCTTCTGTATGTCACTTTTGTAATAAAAGTGGGCATAAATATTTCTTTTGTCGTTTTCGAAAATCAAATATTCCAGGATAGATTTGGAAACCCAAAGACAATCATAATCTTAGTAATACTAACCAACAAGGACCCAAGCAAGCTTGGGTACCTAAGAGAAAGTAATTGTTACATTTTGCAGGAACACCATAGAAAGAGCCGCAAAGAAAAATGGTACCTAGATAGTGCGTGTTCCAGCCATATGGCAGGTGATAAAAACCTGTTCAAAGAGGTCACTAAAATAAATGGTGGAAGTGTTAAATTTGGAGATGACTCAAAGGGGAAGATAGTTGGCACTGGCACAGTCCCATTCAATAACAACTGCAATATCATTGGAGTCTATCTCGTAGATGGACTCAACTATAATCTGCTAAGTATAAGCCAACTGTGTGGTTCCGAATATGAGGTAAAATTCAGGAAAATAGGTTGTGCTATTGAAGATGATTCAGGTAAAATAATCATTCCAGGAAAAAGGTATGGAAATGTCTACATTCTTGATGGCTTAAAAAATATATGGTCATATTTGCTTAACATCCATGTCTGATGATCCATGGTTATGGCATAAGAAACTTGGTCATTCAAGCATGTATCTTATAGATAAACTATCCAAGTATGATTTAGTTATTGGTCTTCCCAAACTCAATTTTTCTAGAAGTCATGTGTGTGATGCATGTCAGATTGGTAAATAGACTAGGAACTCTTTCAAAATCAAAGACATTGTGTCCATATCTAAGCCTTTACAACTGCTTCATATGGATTTATTTGGACCTACTAGAACTTCTAGCATAGGAGGAAAACGATATGCATTTGTTATTCTTGATGACTACTCATTTTTTACATGGGTGATTTTTCTATCTCACAAAGATGAAGCTTTGAAAAACTTTGAGATCTTTTGTATAAGAGTTGAACGAGAAAAGGGATATCTTATTACAACCATTCAAAGTGATCATGGAGGAGAATTTGAGAGCAGAGCATTTGAAGAATTCTACAATGATCAAGGATACACTCACAATTTCTCAGCCCCAAGATCACCTCAATAGAATGGGGTAGTGGAACGGAAAAATAGAACTCTACAAGATATGGCTAGAACCGTGTTACTAGAATACTCATTGCCAAACCACTTTCTGGGCAGAAGCAGTAAGTACAGCCTGCCATATTCTCAACAGATATCTCATAAGGCCAATCTTGAACAAAACTCCATACGAACTGTGGAAAGGTAAACGACCCAACATAAGCTACTTTCATACTTTTGGAAGCAAGTGTTTTATCCATAATAATGGTAAGGAAAATCTTGGTAAATTTGATCCAAGAAGTGATGAAGGTATTTTTCTAGGTTATTCTATAAACAGTAGATCATTTAGAGTTTATAATAACAAACATTTTATCTGTAGAAGAATCAGTACATGTAGTATTTAATGAAAATAACGTTCGGCAGAGAAAGGAATCATTACAGGTGATGAAGATCAAAATCAAGAAACAACTCAGTCAAGTAATCTCCATGAGTCAACTAACAGGGTAGAAAATGTCACAGAGTCGACTGATGAAATTAGAAACAGTCAACCAGAAGCACAGATAAAGTTGACTACTCCTACAAGCATAACATGACCAAATGAATAGAGGAGTGAACCGGAATATCCTCAGAATTCCATCTCGTATATATATATATATACATCGACTAACAATCAGTCTCTCAGCACAATATAAGGCCAATCCATCCCTGAGAAACTTATTCCCAAATGTAAATGATACGGACAAGATCCATGTCCAGGTAAATTCATCATAATATAAATAAGTAAGGCAAGTCCTTGCCCTGGGAAATCCATCCCGAATATATATAATCATTTACGCTCACTGGGGGTGTGTACTGACTCCGGATGGGCTCCTTCAATCCAAGCGCTATATAAAGCCGATATGGCCTACTGCGGCATGCAATCCGATCCCATAATAATAATAAAGCCTATAAGGCCTGCTACAGGCGGGCAGCCCTGATCCGTATAGTAATAAATCCTATAGGGCCTGCTGCGGCGTGCAGCCCGATCATATAATAATAATATATATAAAGCTGATATGGCCTGCTGTAGGCGAGCAGCCCCGATTCAATAAATATCCTCACAATGGATGAGCATGACTGGGTATGAAATGTACAATTAAAATAAAATTAATTCAACAGCAACACGACCCTATGGGTCCCAAAATATTGGCACATAACCTAAACATGATCTTTATTACGAGCCTTAGCTCAATTCCTCTAACACGTGTGGCATGTTCAGATAATAACATGATTTTTTAACTTTGCAACTTCATAGGATTTATTCAAGCCAATTTATATGGTGCACGTCTACACGCTCGTCAACTATCGTATGCGTCACCTCCAAATAATTTATATAACACCAATTCGGGGATTCATACCCTCAGAACCAATTTTAGAAGTGTTACTTACCTCAACCCGTGTAATTGCTCACTCTGTTATGCCCTTGCCTCGAGAATTGGTCTCTAAAAGCCTCGTATCTAGTCACAAATAACTCGATTCAGTCAAAAAGAATTATTGAAATTAATTCCATAAGAAAATATAATTTTTCAACAAAATTCGAAATTTAGCTCAAAATTTGCTTGTGGGGCCCACGCCTCGGAATCCGACAAAATTTATAAAATCCGGATGAAAACCAGAGGAGCTCACAAAAAGAAGGCAAACTTAGCCTTGATCTCCAAGATTGAACCAAAGAAGATAGACGAGGCCCTCAAAGATTCAAGTTGGGTTCAGGCCATGCAGGAAGAAATGGATCAATTTGATAAGAACCAAGTATGGAAATTGATGCATAAACCTGCAGACGCTACTGTAATTTGAACTAAATGGGTCTTCAAAAATAAGCTCAACGGGGATGGAAAAGTCATAAGGAACAAAGCCAGATTAGTAGCTCAAGGATATTCTCAACAAGAGGGAGTCGACTATGACGAAACATTTGCACCAGTAGCTCGACTAGAGTCAATACAAATTCTTCTTGCATATGCATCCTTCAAGAAATTCAGACTTTTCCAGGTGGATGTTAATAGTGCCTTCTTAAATGGTTTCATTGAGGAGGAAGTATATGTAAAACAACCTCATGGATTTGAAAACTCAAAGTTTCCTTATCATGTGTATAAGTTAACCAAGGCACTGTATGGACTTAAATAAGCTCCAAGAGCATGGTACGAAAGACTCAATTCATTTCTACTTGATCACTGGTTTATAAGAGGTAAAGTAGACACTACTCTATTCATCAAAAGATCTTTAGAAGGTAATCTTATTATTCAAGTTTATGTTGATGATATTATCTTCGATAGTGCTAACCCCTTGTTGTACAAGGAATTTGTAACGCTTATGCAAAGCGAGTTTGAAATGAGTATGATGGGAGAGCTCACTTTTTTCCTTGGACTTCAAATCTAACAATCTGAAGAAGGAACCTTCATATGCCAGACAAAATATACCAAGGAGCTAATTTAGAATTTTGGCATGAGCAATGCTAAAGCTATTGGCACACATATGAGCCCGACAATAAATCTTGATAAATATGAAAAGGGAAATCCCATTGATGAAACAAAATATCGTGGAATGATTTGTTCTTTACTTTACCTAACTGCTAGTCGACCAGATATAATGTTCAGTGTTTGCAAATGTGCCAGATTTCAATCAGCTCCTAAGGAGTCTCATTTGACTATAGTAAAGAGAATTATTCGTTATCTCATTGGAACTACTTCTCATGGACTATGGTATCCACGCTCTAACAATTTTAAATTAGAAGGTTTTTCAGATGCTGATCTTGCAGGTGACAAGGAAGACAGGAAAAGCACCAGTGGCACGTGTCAATTACTAGGAAAATCCTTGATTTCTTAGAATAGTAAAAAACAAGGTTCAGTTGCATTATCCACTACAGAGGCTGAATACATTGCCATCGGACAATGTTGTGCACAGTTACTATGGATGTCTCATCAATTGGGTGATTATGAATTATTTTTTAAACCTATTCAATTTTTTTGTCATAACTATAGTGCTATATGTCTTTCAAAGAATCCTTGCATCACTTTAGAGCTAAGCATATAGACATCAAGCATTATTTTATTAGAGATCATATTATTATAGGTGATATAGAACTGTCATTTGTTAGTACCACTGATCAATTAGCTAATATTTTCAATAAGCCTCTACTAGAAGATAGATTCTGTATTTTAAGTGATTTACTTGGCACTATTTCTCTTAATTTCCTAAATTAGGACCTATTTGTCTTTTTAATTTCTTATTTGACTAATGTTCAAATTTTGATTGTGTGTACTCATTTATGTGTCGCCTCCGTTTTTCACTCTCTTTTCACATCAATCGCTGCTTCCAATAAAGGAAAACCAATCATCATGACTCTTCACTGACTTTTTCCTTTCATATACTCAACCGTGAATATTTCCTTCTTAAACTCTGAACCCCGTTCTCTGACTTCGTCGCCTTCATCTTTCAGAGACCCTCTTCAGAAACCCTTTCTCTCAAAGTAGGTTCTCCCATGGATAAACACTCTAAAACCCCTTCTGCCTTCCCCAGAAAAAGTACTCGGTCTAGAGGCAAATCCTCATCTCAGCCCCCAGAACCCGTACACATAGGATCTGACCACTCCGAAGGTTTTGTCTCTTCACAGGCAGAACTCTCAAAATACTCTCACTTAGGAGAAAAAGCTCTAGGAAAAAGGCCCATGTAAGATCCTCTTGAAACCCTTACTCCTAAAAAATCCAGAGTAGACCTTTCAATCTCCTTAGAATCAGACCTCAATTTTTGAGATTCCCCAAACATGGATTTCTTTCTTGCCCTAAAAGACAAGCCCATTGCTCATGGCAAAATTGTTGATCTTGATGTCATGGAAACCCTCAACTGTAAGATAAAGGATCTTTTTGCCTTTCAAGGTTGGTCAAAATTCCTCTCTTTACTCCCTCCTAAAGTCTCTGAACCTTTAGTGAAAATGTTTTATGAAAATATTCGCTCTAGTAAGCCTGATAGGTTAGAATCTTTAGTTCTGGGTAAGCGCATTGTTATTGATTGTGCTACGTTTAACTCAATTTTCTCGTGTAAATGCTCTGGTTTTCTAATGCTTTTCAAAAACACTTGGCCTGATGATTTTGAAATTTCTTTTGATCAAGCAAAACGCTATATTGCTGAGTGCCTTTCTGATTCTCTCCCAAACCAGTTAGGTCCTAGTGCTGTTTAACTTTGAAACTCGTGTCCTAGCCCACATTATTGCAACTACTCTTCTTCCTCGAACTAGATCATTCTCTACCTTATCTCAAAGAGACACCTTTCTTGTTTATTGTCTTGTGACCAAACTCAAGATTAACTTATCCTCCTGGGTCATAAATTTTATGATAGAGAGTGCTGATGATCCCACCAGTCTACCTTATGGTATGGCCATCTCTTATATCCTAGTTGACCACAATATCTCCATCTCAGAATACCCTCTTGTCTCTGTGTCAAAATCCTACAATTCTCGGGATTTTGCTAGTATGGGGTATATGCGTGTAAAAGGCACTTGGGTAAAGAAACAGGACGATGAAGTCAAAAGTGTTAAACCTGACTCCAAAGTCAAATCCTATGTCTCTCTTCACAGTGTAAGTGATCTTGCTATCATTGAAATTTGACTGTCATTGACAACAAGCTGACCAACATCCAAGAACTCCTTACTGCCACTCAGTCCATTGTTGGTGACATTCACATAATTTCGAAGGAAACAGGGTCGGACGTCTCCAAGATAAGGGTCAGAATTCAGAGACTTGGAGAAAATGCAGTCAAAGCCTTCAAGGAAGTTCATGACAGGATTGATGGGGTCACCGTTGAAGTAAATGCCAGCTTTGATCGTCTAAAGGAGGCCATCTACAACACTCTTACCTATTTCCTGCATCACTAGTGGTAGAAATCTCAAACATTTTTTTGTGTTTTACTGTTTTAGACTGGTTAACCAGTCAGCTGGATGTTTTTTTATTTCTTTTATGACTCTGCATGCTTATCATGCCATCCTTAGTTATATTGCAT